TCTCAAGACTGTTCAACCAAATGGCAAGCACAGATAACATGGACATTGAATCTTGCCTCTTTTTAATATGCCTATAGAAGTGGGAGTCTATATCACAGCTAACGGCATAAATTATAACATGAATGTGCATATTTAATTGGTTTTATTTTTTTTTACAATCCTTTGATTTCAAGCATTTTTGTTATGCATTATTTAGAGAGTAAAGTCTGCTCTTTGTCTCAGTGAGAATGCAGAAGGGACACTATTGTGTCTCTGAATACAGGCCTGTGTCATTTCCAGGAGTGCTAATGTGTACCGGGTCATTCTTGGCCCTCTCTTCTCCCTTATGACATTGATGAGAGACATGGAAAAGAGAGCAGAGCTAAGAGTAGAGATAGAAAAAAACCCAGCGAATCAAAACGAACTTAATTCATGTAAAAAAATCACAAGCTCACTTGGTAGGGGACTATGGCTTTATTTCAGCGTCTTTCATCATACACTCTAAGAGCAGAAATTAATCTGTAGGATTTGCTGTGTGTGAGATAAAGAGAAATTTATAATTTGTATGAAACAGTAATTCAGCAAACTTGAAGGGACTGGTAGAGAGCTTAGTGAGCTGTGAAACATCATTTAACCCAATTTATTTGATTCAATGAGCTGCGAATGTTTGCAATGCAAGTACATAGCAGAAGTGTCTGTAGTAGTAACTCTGTTCCAGTTCTTATTTGGGTATAAATTTAATTTATCTGTCTATCTATCTATCTATCTATCTATCTATCTATCTATCTATCTTCTATAATTTATCACCCATCTATCATCTGTCTGTCTATCTATAATCTATCTATCTATCTATCTATCTATCTATCTATCTATCCATCCATCTATCTAGTTTTGAAAGAATTAGCTGTGAAACAGCCTGGATCATGGCCAAGGGCCCCTAAGCCTGCAGCTGAATATTGAATGCCAAAGCTGCTGAGGCCTCCTAATCCTGGACACCCTGGTCCCTCAGGCATCTTCTGCCATTTGGTGTTTTTCTGAAGAAGAAACACTTCTTTCTTTACTTTCTTTTCTTCCCCCCACTGTGATGCTGGCGATTGATCCAAATACCTCACACATAGTAGACCAGTGCTATAATACTGAGCTATGCATCTCCGGCCTATATATAATAGTTTTGATGTATCATAGGCAAAATAAACACTCTCCTGATGGGCACATGCATTTTAAAGATGGAATTCTATTTACCACTCATCTATTCCTGTAATGATCGATAATATCAGATTGGCTTTTTATTCCAGTAAATTATAAGAATTCATGAAATGTCTACTCCTTTTGCTTTGGCTAATCAGAAGAATGGCAAGCCCATTTTTCTGCTCTTTAAACTATATGTAGCATTTCATAAGTGCCATCTTTTGGTGTAAATGTGATCAACCACTGTTATGTACCCTTTGCTATTTTGCAAATGAGAAAGATTTTTTTTTAATGTAAGGGCAGCTACATTACAACTCAATTTAAAAGGTGAAATTAAACTTGAATTACCGATAGACAACTGATATGGTCTTAAATGATTTTATATTTAGTTCTCCTTTAGAGGACCTCAAAATACTGTTAAGACTCAAGTATCTGAATCCTAAATCAATGGTTATAAAACGATACTCTGTGTTGAACCAGATAGTGTCCTGACAGCACACAGATGGCACAGTCATGGGGCTTAGCTGGAGAATTGTTAAAGAGGGGGCTAATTATGGAAGTGTGATCAAGGTGAAGGGAGCCAACAGGATTAGTTAAACACTTGAGACTAGGAACAGTGGGGAGTTGTTGCTACTTGGAGTCTGGGGTCCTTAAGCTCCAGGAAGAAGAATGGCTTCAGAGCTACAAAGCACCAGCACCTCTTCAGGCTCTAGTGACCTGAGGGGCTCACAGGGGGAAATGCTCTCCCCTTTCTTCCTTGCATACCCATTGCCTGACGGGGCTTTTTTTTTTTTTTTTTTTTTTATCATAAATTGTAAATTATTATTTTTTTTTTTTTAAATTTATTTTAATTTATTTTGCAATACAATTCAGTTCTACATATCGGTCACGGATTCCCTTGTTCTCCCCCCTCCCGTCCCCCTCACCTTCCCCCCAACGCCCCCCCCCCCCATTCCCATCTCCTCCAGGGCAAAGCCTTCCCCACAGACTGAGGTCAACCTGGTAGACTCAGTCCAGGTAGGTCTAGTCCCCTCCTCCCAGGCCAAGCCAAACAATCCTGCATAGGCCCCAGGTTTCAAACAGCCAACTCATGCAATGAGCACAAGATCTGGTCCCACTGCCTGGATGCCTCCCAAACAGATCAAGCCAATCAACTGTCTCTCCCATTCGGAGGGCCTGATCCAGTGTGGACCCCTCAGCCATTGGTTCATAGTTCATGTGTTTCCATTCATTTGGCTATTTGTCCCTGTGCTTTATCCAACCTTGGTCTCAACAATTCTCGCTCATATAAACCCTCCTCATTCTCGTTGATTGGACTCCCAGAGATCCACCCAGGGCCTAGTCATGGATCTCTGCATCCAGATCCCTCAGTAGTTGGATGAGGTTTCTAGCACAACAATTAGGGTGTTTGGCCATGGTATGTACTCACTCATAGCAGGATACTAGACATGAAACAAGGATGAATTGTCAGCTACTCACATCACCAGGGAGGCTACCCGGAAAACAGGACCCCAAGAAAGACACAGGGATCGCCCAATGACAGAGAAATGGAATGAGATCTACATGAACAGCCTGGACATGAGTGGGGGTAATGAAAGGCGAGGGTTGAGGGAAAGAGAGCTTGGGGGAGCGGGAGATCCCAGCTGGATCAACAACAGAGAGGGAGAACAAGGAATAGGAGACCATGGTAAATGAAGACCACATGAGAACAGGAAGAAGCAAAGTGCTAGAGAGGCCCACAGAAATCCACAAAGATACCCACACAACAGACTGCCGGCAATGGTCGAGAGACAGCCCGAACTGACCTACTCTGGTGATGGGATGGCCTGACGGGGCTTTTTATTTCTCTTCTCATCTAGAAGCAAAGATTTGCTTCCCATGGTGTATTGTAGACCATGCCGGAGGAGGGACAGAGGGAAACAAAATGGAGACTGTATTACTTTTTATTCCTGCTTTAATTGTAGGCTTATTGGTTTAAAACTATGTTAAATTTATCATCCCACAAATGTAGAGGTCAGAAAGTCTCAACCGAACAAGCACCAGAAGTGCTGAATACCTTCTGGAAGCTCACGAGGGTGAAATCATTTTGTCTTTTGCCACTCCCCAGTGCACACACACACTTGCCTCCTAATCCCTGCCCGAATCACAGCTGAAAACTCTGACTCCATCATCACCTGCCTGACTCCCACTGTGGCCTTCCTGTTCCTTCCCATAAGGACCCTTGTGATTACATGTGTCCCACCTGGATAATCCCAGATAATCTCCTCATTTTAACATGCTTAATTTAATCCTACATATTGCAGTGTTTGGTAGTGCATTCACAGGCTCTGGGGATTAGCATGTGGATATTTCTCAGGGAGCCACATATCAGGTCTAGAGATAGCAGAAGGTTGTAACTACTGGTATGAAAGAGGTTACTGTTGAAATAGAAAGATTAAAGCTGGAGGGTATGCACAGCCCAAGAGGGCAGCTTTTATATTCCTCTCCTCTTCTCTTCTCTCCTCTCCTCTCCTCTTCTCTTCTCTTCTCTTCTCTTCTCTTCTCTTCTCTTCTCTCTCTCTCTCTCTCTCTCTCTCTCTCTCTCTCTCTCTCTCTCTCTCTCTCTCTCTCTCTCTCTCTCTCTCTCTCTCTCTCTTATTGAGACTTTTACACTAGATAGTACAGGCTGGCTTCAAACTCATGGATACTACTGGTTCATCCTTCCAATTGCTGGAAATTGTAGATATGTATCACCATGGTTGACAGCAATTGATTTTGGAAATTATAAAATACTATTTTACGTATTAGATGTAGTTACATTATATATAACTGAACTAAAAATTATTTATGTTTTCTTTTTCTATTGAGACTTTCTCATTATATAACAGTGTTACATATAGTTAAGTCTTTATATTTTGAATATCTTCTAAATTTTCAACTTCTCAAGCTCCATTCTTTATAACTTCATGGCAAGAAGACTATGACATTTTTCCATCAACAAGCTCACTTGGAAAAAACAGTTTCTAAAACTTGTTATTTTGATTTTCCTACTGATGTTCAGGTTTTATTTCCAAATAAGAAAGTTCTTGTTACTTATATTTTAAAAAATGATGAAAGAGAAATATGAGATTAGGTCATTTGCCTTAGGTAATATAACCAATAAGTGAATATATCAGATATCATTTTCAGTTTGCTTGTCCAAATCAGGGTTTCACTCTTCATTGCCCTGCTCTGGGAAGCTGGATTTTTCAAATAGAAGCCACAGAGATCCTTTTCCCTGGGGGTTGTGTCTGGCTTCTACCAATGGGGCATATCAACAGGACTCTTAAAGGAGTAGAAGACAGAAACAGAGCTATTTTTTTCTTACGAAACTGCCACCCATACTCCCTTCCTGTCTTGTCCATTTTCCGGATGTGTTGTTGTTGTTGTTGATATCTTTCCACTGTCACTCAATTATGCTAACAGTTTCTCAACTCCTATGGGGAGCAATGCTGTTTATTTTCTTAATTGCTTTTTTTCTGGTCCCTGAATGCTTTTTTCTCTTTCTCCCATTTAAAGTTATAAATCAATAAAGCATGGCATGTCAAGTTGAGGTAGAACTAAGGTCCTTCCCTTGTGTTAAGACTGGGCAAGGCAAGCCGGGCGGTGGTGGCGCACGCCTTTAATCCCAGCACTCGGGAGGCAGAGCCAGGTGGATCTCTGTGAGTTCGAGGCCAGCCTGGGCTACCAAGTGAATTCCAGGAAAGGCGCAAAGCTACACAGAGAAACCCTGTCTCGAAAAACCAAAAAAAAAAAAAAAAAAAAAAAAAAAAAAAAAAAAAAAAAGACTGGGCAAGGCAACCCAGTGTGAGGAATAGGTTCCTGGAAGCCAGTCAAAGCACCAGGGACAGTCCCGGTTCCTGTCACTGATAGATCAAGCTACACAATGGTCACACATATGTAGAGGGCCTAGGTCAGTCCCATTTGTGCTCCCTAGCTGTCGGTCCAGAGTCTGTGAGCTCCTATGAGTCCAGGCTAGTTGTTTCTGTGGATTCCCTTGTGATGACCTTGACCTCGCTCCCCACCCCACCCCCAGCTCCTATAATCCTTCCTCCCTCTCTGTAACAGAATTCCCTGAGCTTGGCCTAGTTCTGGGCTGTGGATCTCTGCATTTGTTTGCATCAGTCACTGAATGAAGACTCTCTTACCACAACTGGAGTGGTCACTAATCTGATTACAGGAGATGGCCAGTTCAGGCACCCTCTCCATTATTGCTAGGAGTCATAGCCAGGGTCATCCTTGTAGATTTTTGGGAGTTTCCCTTGCACTAGGCTTCTATCTGACCCCAAATGTGTCACCTATCAAGACATCTCTTCCGTTACTCTCCCCCTCCATCCACGCCCCAACCCAATCCCTCATGTTTCTGTCTCCATCAGCTCCCAGTCTACCCAGGAGACCTCTTCTGTTTCCCCTTCCCAAGGAAATCCACTTATCTCCATCTCACTTTATAATTTTAGTTCTTTGTGTTGGTAACATGACTTTCATCCCAGTACTTGGAGACAGGGGTAGCGGGGTGGGAGGTAGGGGGTAGGCAGATGGCTGTAAGTTTGAGGTGAGCCAGAGCTACATAGTGAGACTTTGTAAACAATCAAGCAAACAACATCAAAAGCAGAAAAGAAGAGAGTATCAGATCCTTGGGAGCTGGCATTACAGGCAGTTGTCAGCCCAATAAGGGTGCTGAGAACTGAACTTGGGTCCTGTGGAAGAGTAGCAAGTTGTTTTTGTTTTGTTTTAACAATGGAAACATCCTTCTATCCCTACCCATACCATCACTTGCTTTAATCCCCCCATCTCAGAAAATAAAGCTTTTATTAGATTATTTATAGTCGAACTGCTCTGAATGTGTCACTCTCCTCACTTTGGGAAGCTAGCTGCAATGTGATTTTAAAGATATTTGACAATAAAGCCTAAGTTATCTCACTATATTGTCTTTAATAAAAATATAGACCCAAGCAAATGAATTTATAATTTAAAATAAATTAGTTATCTGCAGTCAATGACTTCTATGCTTGTTCTTAGTTATTGATTTAAAAAATAACTTTCACTGAATTAAGCAAATATTGTAATTTCAAAAATACATAGTACACTCTAGGTTTTGTATAATGGGTACATTCTGTAATAAATCTTAATTATCAAACTAGTATTTAGCCTGTTTACTATTCTGCTTTTGGTGAGCTTTGTTGATAGCATCTAACTTGTCGGGCTTTGATGTCATGCTTTGCAATGAGTTTTAATTTGATTCATTAACACGGGAAAATCATTGTTCCTCAGAGAAGTGTGAAGTCTTATGTACCAAAATATACAATATACATCCGTTATTTCAGGGATTTCTTTTCACCATTCCAAAGTGTTGCTGATGCCTGTTTCCTTGACAACCAGGTGATGTGAGAACTGAAATGAATGAGTGCATGTGAGGTGTAGACACAAAGCTATTGTAGGTGTGTATAGGAACTATTGGAGCAACCTCGTTTTCTTTTGTGCACAACGATGATAATGCTCATGAAGGAACGTCAGCAGTTTCCATGGTGCCAAGTGGGTAGGTCCACATGGCAGTTAATACTTGTATGTTGCAATTCTATATATGTTTCTTACTACTGTTCACTTCTTTTCTCCAGGTGTTCTCTTAAAAATTAAAAGCAATATGTGTGTGGTGTGTGTCTGTGTATTAGCACACACATGACATGGCATACATGTAGAGGCCAGAGGACAACTTTAGGAAGTCCATTCTCTCCTTTCACTGGGGATCAAAACCCAGGCAGTTGCTGGGCGGTGGTGGCGCACGCCTTTAATCCCAGCACTCGGGAGGCAGAGCCAGGCGGATCTCTGTGAGTTCGAGGCCAGCCTGGTCTCCAAAGCGAGTTCCAGGAAAGGCGCAAAGCTACACAGAGAAACCCTGTCTCGAAAAAAACCAAAAAAAAAACCAAAAAAACAAAAAAAAACCCAGGCAGTCAGGTTTCTGTGGTAAGCATCCACTCAAGCTACCTCTCCAGCCTGTTATTCTTATGTCACACATACTCATCAACTAGCTTATAGTAGGAAAACTAGGCAAACACTTGGTCTTTTTCCTTTCATGTGTGACGTACAATTAGGCATAGCATGATAGTTTCTAGTGATCTTAGATGACAGCAAGAGCACATAGTTCAAAATGTATTATGGCAATCAGGAGTCGTGCCACATGCCTATAAGCCTAGAACCCAGGTAGCTGAGACTAAAGGATGAAATATTAGACCCTGTCTCAGACCAAAACAGATTATGAAGAGTATAATGTAATGTTCAGCTAACCCCTAAATCTGAGGCAGTTATCAGAGACCATGTATGCCACATGGCAGTTATCAGCTACCATGTATGCCACATGGCAGTTATCAGAGACCATGTATCCCACATGATCTGTAAGCCCATGCTTGTTAAGGCCTTGTGGCCAAATGCTAAAGTCATGCTCACATTCAGAAAGATGTGTCTGTTATCCACAAAAATATATCAGTGCTTCTTCCCAGAGTAGAAGGGATCAAGTGAGATCCACTGCTAAGTGACAATTTGGTTTCATGAAGGGACAGCACCTTATTAGTGGCTCAATTTTGGTCTCTGTGGCCAGCAAGTTGGAATTCAGCAGCAGCACTAACCCTTTCCACCTCTGTGAGTTGGAACCCACGTGGATTGTCCCACTCCCCAGTTTGTGCTCTCTTATGCAATGTCATGGTGGTTGGTGACAGCGCCTTTTCAGCTGACCCAAGTATTCTTTCTGTCAGGTGTCTCTTGTCTTTCCCATGGTGGGAACTGTCCACATCAACACTTGCAGAAGAGGACTGGGCCCACTGAGAAACTGGTTAGAGTCATAAAAAGACCCCAGTGGGGATCATATATGAAATTTTCAAGAAACTATTGAAAAGAAGAACAAAAAAATGGCCAAAAAATTCAAATGAAAACATATACTCTACTCACATGAATGAATCATCTCTGAGAAAAAGAGAATGCCCTGTAGTAGAGAGACCTGTCACATGCAAGATTGTGAATCTGACCTCCAGCACCCACCCCAAATACAAGCAAAAGCTTATCTGTCAAACCTCTTAAACTGACTGATGTGGGAAGAGAAACAATATGAGAATCAGGAGTGGGAATAAACATGAAAAATATACTTTACTACTGTCAATAGTAGTTTAATATAATTTCATATTTTAAAACTGTCTATATTTTAAAATATAAATATCGACGATAGGTTCATATACAAGCTTCTTTTGGAAGATGAAGTACATTGCAACTCTACTGATTGCCTAGAAGTGGGAAATTTGTGTTACTTCAAACTCTCCCAAGTGGAAGTTTTACTTAAGTTTCTGTTCAAACAGCTAATGCTTATCTGGGAGTTTTGCAAATAGCCTTTGATTAAGGTTTCTTATTTGTTCAAGACTAACCAAGGTCTGCACTTACAATCAACGTTAGTCCCTTAGGAATGATGACTTCCTGTGTTTTGAGTCAATTACCTATATTATATACATGTTAACTTTAAAGGCAATAAATACGAATTAATAAATATGCATCTTGGATGTTCTTAGGTTTAGCCTATAAATTAATTTAGATACCATTACTCATCATTTATGCACTTATTTGTAGATTTTACTCTTTTTTTGAAAAAGTGGGCATTTAAGAATTTAGAAGATATTTGTATTATAAGGACATGAGTCTCTAAATTTGAATATTTTCTTGATTGGCATTCCTTAGCTTTATGTAAAATGATACTGCATTTTCTCACCCTTACAAGGCTGAGGTAATACTTTCCAATTTGCCATGTTCGTCTTTTTCATTGTAAAAGTTAGGGTTTCACAGAGAATTATTACAGAGGGCATGTTAATTATTTATACACATATATCATTTTATTTCCTCCACTTTTTAAAACCTCTGCACACGGGACTCTTTAAAAATCCCCTAGTTTGACAGTTGGCAACTAGTCAACACTGAGCCCACTTCCTGTGAAAGGACATTATTTTGCATGTCCTTGGAGACTGGATAATTAATGTGTAATGCTTTACTTAAAACTGTAATTAAGTTTAAATTAAAATTCTTTGGGTTTTTAACAGAGAAGGAAGTATTTTGGTGCCCCTTTCACTTAAATGTAATATTTGCCAGCCTGTCTGGGCCAAACCACCTCCATTTATAGATACTTATATTGTTGTTTTAATGTTGGCATTTGGTCTGGAAACTGTAAGAAAACTTTGTTATTTTCTTCCTACCTTCAATTACAGCTGTTTCCCTTCAGTTTTTGGTAAGGACAATGTCAAACAAACTACCTGTTGCCATTCACTGTTCATCACTATTATTATTGCAGGTAGAAATGTACTGATTAATCTTTCCTAGAAACTTCAGTTACACTACAAAGTAAGGAACACCTCCAGGCTGTTTTCTTTCTGTTTGCCAAGGACTTGGGTTCATTTGCAGATACTGCTCCTCAGTTATTCCAATATCCTGCTCTGCTTGTCATGAATTAGGTTTTTATGAAGTCCTGCCTTATGGTTGTGAAGATTCGTGAAAGCTCACCGGCGAACTCATCAGTCCAAGGATCAAAGACACATTCTGCTTTGTTTCCGTCTTAGGTATATGCCTCAGCTCCACCTTGTGGGGCTCTTAACATGTTCTGAACTCTAAATATTTTAACTAACACTCACAGTGGATGAAATCTATTGTTATTTTATTCTTCCACAATTTGTGAGTGACTGAATAAATTAAAAAAAAGGAATACAAAACAAAACCAGACACCAAAATTCTAGTCATGATCAGATTTGCCTTCATCGGTGGAGTTTTTCAAAAGTTTCTTGAATTCTGCAATATTTTTAAAGTTGTGTTATGGCCAAATGTCCAAGTGAAATAAGTGAGAAGCCCCAAATTAATGGTAGTCTTTGCCAAAGTTGAAAGAGAATTTAAAGGACCAAGATAAACAGTGATATATTTAATGCACAAAGATATTGTTTTTCATGATCTATGTTCATACAGTTTATGTGACACTAGATGTACTTCAATAATGTTGTCTAGACAAGATCCTTTTATTTCGAGTATAGATATACACACAAATCCATTTAAGGAGCAAATTTATTATAAAATATTAGTAAATAGCTTGTAAGAGATTTATTTTGTATTTTCACTAATTATTGTGTTTATGTGATCTACAAAGAAGGAGAAGAGATTCTGTATGTGTGGTTATTTACAAGCAAAGCATTTGATGTATTGAGGAACTTAAACATCCCAATTTGAGATTTGGACCTAGTCCAGTTAATTGACTCCTACAGGAACACTTTTGTGAAGCAATTGAGTATTTGCAATGCATCATTGTTTTTCTAGCATGAGATATTTTATTTCTTTTTATTTCTATTTTGAAAGTGTATGCTCTTGCCTTAATTAAATACAAACTCTTGCTGTCATTGATCACATTGACTACTTCAGTTTGATACCACAGTATCTGTCATGCTAAATATACAGTGCCTTAATGTGTATGGTTTGGTTAATAGGGAGCTAATCATTTCTAATCATCATATCTTCCTTTACACAATTTGGATATTGATGAATGGTTTATAATCATGATTTAAAAATGATCTTCTGTGTATCATGTATTGTAAGTCTTCAGTTTTAAAACTGAAAAAGGACACATCATTAGCACACTTAAGACTTACACTTATGTATGTATTTTGAGTATCAGTTGAAATTTAATTGTTATTATTTTATCCTATTTAAATGGGTTTAAAGATATATGAGAATATGGAGAACTGGGAAGGACATGGTGTAGAGGACATTCACTACTATGAGTTCTGGTGTGTTGCCAAAACCTCAGATGTATGGTCTTCTGGCCAAGCGCCTGTGGGTTCACATTGTTGGTACATTCATTGTGGCCCTGGGAGTTACTGCTTCCTGTAAGTTTGGCACGGCTGAACCCAGAAAGAAGGCATATGCAAATTTCTACAGGAATTACAACTCCATGGAGGACTTTGAAGAGATGAGGAAGACTGGCATCTTCCGGAGTGGGAAGCAACTTCAGAATGTATAGAATTCTTTGGATTGCACTCAATAGAAGTTCATTGCTGACCTGTGTTCCTGAACTATGAAGCATGAATATGTGGGCTAAGGAGTAGTTTATCTCAATAAACAATTAACAATTATATGGACAAAAATAACATATATGAGAATATAAACACATTAATTTAGTCTCTTAAATTTTCTAAGAATAAGAAACAATGTAAGCTATATGTAAATGTAAAATTTCTATTACTTTTGTTAAAAAGGTTTTGGCATTATGCTAATAATTATTCAGTGTGTAATTTAGATACCTTTAAAGAGTGAAAACTTCTGTATTTTCATGTTAAATTGATTTTTTCCTTAAAAATGACTAGTCTTTCATAAAATTGTTAATTATCAGCTACTAGAGAATATTATGTTGTAGATCATTTTTTTTTTTTATCTAGGATGGATTCATTGGGAGTACGTATAAATTTCCTTTTTAGCTGCCCTATTTTCTGTGTTATTTCTTGATAACTTTTTCTCCTGTTACTATTATCTAGTTCAGTGTATTTAATCTTTTGACTAGTCTCTCTTTTTACGTGTCCCACTTTTCTATTTTATTAATAAATTTTGTTCTTTGGCAATTTTGTTCATGTCTATAATTTATTGTGGTTATTTCTCCTTCTTATTTCTCTCCCAAGCTTGCTACACTCCTTCACCCTAGCAAATCAACTCACCATGTTAATTCATGTTTGTTTTATTTTATGTTCCACAGACTTTCACTAGGGTCACCCGGGTGACCCTGAGTTTGGAACTACCTATTGGAGCCTGGTGTGCTCTCTCGTGGGTAGACAACAGGGTACTCTGCCATCTCTCCTCCTTGAACTTGTTAGCTGCTAATACATCCGCAGTAAGTGATAGGGCCCAGTGAGCTCCTTCCCGTCAACAGCTGATTGCCACAAGGCCTTTATTTGTGTGGATCCAGAGCCAATAGCATAACTACTGTAAGTTCATTAATTCCATGGTATTGCCATGCTTAGGAGACAGCATTTTGCTATCCTTCTCCTTATCTTCCAATTCCCACATTCTTCCCACTCCCTTCTGCAATACTCCCTGGGCCTTAAGGGAGTGGTACTTCTTGTTTAGGGCTGCCCTTTATTTTCAGCATCTTGTTTAACCAGGGATTTTTGTATTCACCCCTGACTCGTGTCGAGAAGCTTCTCTGATTTGGGCTGAGAGTTGCCTTTTTTTTATATGGGCATACACGTATACTGAAGGTTATTTGGGGATATGTCAATTTAGCTAAGCCAGGGTTAGGTTCATCCCTAGGGGCTAAGTCTTTGGTCATGGGTTTTTAGAATAGGTTTACCTCACTGGGCAGGGATTCCCTTTTATAAAGCAGGCCTCAAATAGAAGAAGGGAGTGGTTGTTCCCTCCTATAACTGTTAAACCACTATTGCAACAATAAACTCATTTCCCTTGGCAGATAAGTATTGAATTTCATAGAGTTTACATCTTGGTAAAACCATGATGTCTTTACACCTTCCTCTCCCATCCAGCACTATGAAAGCTATCTAGCTGTAAAGTATGTGGTGTCTTATCAACTAATTCTTTTAAATAATTAGTGGAATGGCAAGAATCTGTACTGCTTTGGCAGTTTCTGGAACACCAGTTACCAATAACTTCTATGAATATATCCCATATATCCCACTAACAATTTTGTTTAGTGATCTATTACTTCTAGGAATGGCTTTGTACAGGCTCATTGGGTGTCTGCCTTCAAACACCTTTTCATGTCTTTTGATTAGGCTGCCAGATAATAGGCAAATATCTTATTGGGTGAATCTGTTTTAGCTTACCAGGGCTCCCCTCTTCCATAATATATTCATAACTTCTGACTGGCTTTCTCATACCCTCACCTCATTTATTAACCCTTCATTAGCTACATTTTCCCAGTTCTCCTACCTCCACCCCTCTCCCTGTTGGAACATTTCTACTCTCAATATTCCTCTATCCTCATTTTACCTATGTAACTCTATCCATCCAACACTTACCCTACTGTTCCCTTTCTAGTTTCCCAGCTTCTAGAAATATTCCAAGTTAAACACACAATACTGAAGAGTTGAGTCTAGAATTCACATATAAAAGAAACATAAGACATTTCTGGTCTAGGTTTCCTTGCTCAGTATAATTTCCCCAATTTCATTGACTTATCTGTAAACCTCATAATGTCATTTTTCTTTAAAACTGAATACAATCCCACTAATGTACATGTACTACATTTTCAATATCCATTTGTTACTTAATAGACATCTCAATATTTTGAGACCAGGTCCTCCTATGCAGCCCAAACTGGCCTCAGATTAGTGGACCCCCTGCCTCAGCATTACAGAAATAAATGAACATGCACACACACACACACACACACACACACACACACACACACACACACACACACATACACACACACCACGTGTATTGTATGCATATGGATGTACTTGCTCATTCTAACGCCTGTGTAGGGCAGAATTTGACATTGATTATCTTTATCATTGTTTTATCTAGTTTTTTGAGACAGGGTCTCTCACTGAATGTGGAGCTCACTGACTTGCTATATAGGCTGGCCATCAAACTCTGGGGATCCACTTGTCTCCACCTGCTTCCCAACCCTAACCCAGCATTTGTTTATAGGTGTGTGCAGCTGGGAATGTAAACTCAGGCCCTTCATTTATGCAACAAGCACTTTCCTCACTGAGCTGTGTCATCAGCTCCAGAGGAATAGTTTTTATGACAGTGTTGTTTTTATGTTTCTTTACAGATACCTCATTGGCGATTCTGTCTTAGCCTATGATGGCTTCTTCCTCCCATAATATTTTTCTTTAATTATAGGTTGATATGTACCTTCAATTTCCTTAAAGATATTAAACATTTTATTCTTGTTCATTTCTAACCACTATAGTATCTATAGTTTCTGTGGAATCATTTTTGCCATTGCTGAATCTTTTGACTGTCATTTGTTCCCTTACATACTCAAATTTTCCCTGTGAATTAGTGTTTGTTGAGACTTTGCCTGCAGGAACTCTTTTCAAGGTTTAAATTATCACTCTCCCAACTGCTCAAAGCACTTGCCTGCTCTTAGGGAACTATTTTGACATGTGATTACCATATTCTCAGTTTGGGGCTTGGAGTTTTTGGATTCTGCAAATGTAATCATTATTTTACTAGGTCGACATGAGGATGGCTTGTTGATAAGGATTTTCTGATAATACTTCTTTATAAGTGTTGTCTAGTTTGAGCCTAAATCAAATGACCAAAGGTTTCCTTCATCTCCCTCAGTGAGACTCTTTTTGTAGTTTTTGTACCAAAGTATACTTTTAGGGAATCCTGTATTCATGCAGAGTTTGCTGATACCTATATTTTCTTTAAGTTTCTTTCATCATTAAGAATTTGATACATAGACAATGACATTTGATCATATTGGCTCCCCACTTCCCCCTCCAACTCCTTCCATGTGCTTTCTGACATGTCCCCTTCCCAACTGTATATCTTAAAAAAAAAAAAAAACAACAAAACACTAAACACTATTAACATTGCCCTTGATCACCCGCCATAAGTACACAGCAAGTCCCCATTGCTGAAGATTATAGATGAAATCAGTCTTAAACTAACCAGGAACTTCCTTCCTGCTGGATCACTTTCACAGTTCTAAAAAAGCTCTGCAGGCTGCTGAGGGACCAAAGACATCAATGGTCTTACCCTGTGCTACTGTCTGTTTTCATTCATGGAGGCTGACCTTGTCTTCTGACTGCTATGGTCCCTATTAATGATTGTGAAGGGCACTGAAGATTGGCATATACGGCTATGAAATGTCCTGGCTTAACGAATTACTCTCTTGACTTTGAGCATTCTCATTTGTTTCTAATTTTGGTAGAAATTCCTTTTCTCCCCTACCATCTGAAAAAAAAAAACAACACATTTTCTAAAAGACTTTTTGGTTTATCCAGAACTTTAAAAAGAATTATTCTGATGTACCTTTTGCTGAAAATGGGAAGAATTACCTGTAATCCCATCGCTTGAGAGAGGAAGGCATGCATTCTCATCCACACAGAGAATTTGAGGCTAGTTCAATTATCTGAAATCTTACTGAGAGAGGGGGAGGGGAATAAAGAGAGAGACAGAGACAGAGAGGCACAGAAAGAGAGAGAGAGACAGAGAGAGAGAGAGAGAGAGAGAGAGAGAGAGAGAGAGAGAGAGAGAGAGAGAGAGAGAAAGAGAGAGAGAGAGAGGAGAGGAAAGGAGGGAGGGAGGGAGGGAGGGAGGGAGAGAGGGAGAGAGAGAGCGAGAGAGAGAGAGAGAGAGAGAGGACTGAAAGACAGAGATGAGACAGAGTGTACAAAATTGAAGCAAATATTTTGCAATAATTACATGGGCAATTTTTGCTGATTCAAAACAAGATCATTTAACATAAATATGGACTGTAAATAGTCAAGATAGACATCTACACTCTATCAGAAGTAATTTCCCCAAAGTTGACTTTAACTAAACCGTTGATAACAAGTTTTAAAAAAACCTTTTATTTGTACTGAAAAATGTGATTTTTTTTTGGAGCTGAGGATCGAACCCAGGGCCTTGTGCTTGCTAGGCAAGCGCTCTACCACAGAGCTAAATCCCCAACCCCTTAAAAAACCTTTTATTGTACATTATAAACATCATATTGTTAAAAATATCCTTTAGATTATATTAACACAAGCTGTGCTTGGATACCATGAGTTCTATCACTAAAAGTCCTAAATTTTCAAGCCAATGCCCTATCATTTTTTAAATGGATTTTCTTTGTATTTTACTATTACACTATAAATATCCAAATTTTCTAGATTAAAAAAAGCTTGTCTATTCAGCCAGCTACAAGAGAAAGAAACAAAATAAACACTAATAAAACGACAAAATTGGCAATTATACCTGTGTTGTAGTAGTAAATATTCTTGATAACTTCTGAACAGAAAATATGTTTGCAACTTAATGTTATATTCAGACCTTTGTTTTAGGGAGGAAACAAATGCTCTGAAGACATCTGTCAGGGATTTAAGTCTATAACCAGGTCTTACCAGATTTACCATGTAATCTGTAGTCGCTGGAAAAGGTTGATTTACCATCTAATCTAAAAGATATTACTCCAGATTTCATTACTGCAGCCGGAATTTCATGCATTTTGTGGTGTCCAGAAAATTACTAAGATATGCATGTATTCATGTGAGAGAACTTTCTGCAGGTTTTTCTACTTATTTTAAAACTCCACATAAAAAGAAATACACTAGAAAATGGGACCCATACATTTAGAAACTTGACAATTTTATAGATGTGTGCATACTAAGGATATTTATTCACTCTACTCATTATTAAATGTCTCCTTTAATTTTATTTATTATTATTAGATATATATTCTTTAAAGAAAGATAGATTCCATTTAAGGGCATGAGATGATTGAATTTTGTCTTTTGCATAACTATTCTGTATTAATAGTGTGCTTTGTGTGAATCTTTATAGAGAGTTTACACGCTATTCAAGTTGGGTAACACTATATAATCAATTTCACAATATGTCTCATTTCCCTCTAAGTATTAGACTTGAAATTCTATACTTAAGA